AGCAGAAGTCTGAAGTGCAGATGATGTGATGTTTACTGGGCAAGCATGTACATCATAACTGATGGCACAGAACCTTGCTTCCCAGTGTCCCATCCATCCCCTTCCTTTACAGGCCTAATGATACCTGAAATGCACACCCTTGCTCCCCCACCCTTACGGTTGATGGTCATGGTTGTGTTTTTGGGGAGGGAGGGTTATGAGTCTGGGGTCTTTGTCTCGCCTCTTTTTTTGTATCCCATGGGAGTGGTGACGAATTGGATTACGCTATGGTCCGGGACAGGCATTTCTTTGGCCTTAGTGTTTCTTGTACTTCCCCTTCCCAACTGGTTGCTTGACTTTGCCTTGAGACAGCAGTTGAAGAGGCTTCCAGTGTGCACTCCTATTATATCTCCAGCATGCCCAGTAATGCTCTGATCATTCTTATCTGTTCCTAATATACCAGCAAGCCCATCTGGCTATGCAGAAAAAACACAGCGTCTTGATTCTTTGTTCGCACATATTAGGAAAGGGTGTAAGAGTATCCCAAAGTCAACCCCAAAATTCTGCACCATGCTAACAAACTGGTATATATATGAACACTAAAAAAAAAAACCTAAATTTAAAGTCTTTAAGTTAGAGACTTCACCATTTATTCCAGTTTAAACCCACACGTGATCCATGCCCATGTTGCAGAGGAAGGTGAGAAAACCCAGGTTCTCAATTTGACCCAGGAGAAAATTCCTTCTCAACTCCAAATGTGGCAGTCAGACTCTGAGCACGTTATAGGTGAGAGCCACCACCCAGGCACCTGGGAAAGAATGATCTATAGCCATGGTGTTCAACATGCTAGCCACATGTGGCTGTTTGGCCAGTTGTGCGGCTAGTTCACTTTAGTGGATACTGGTTCAGAACTAGTTGGGCACCACAGCTCTGTAGTAACTCAGCCTTCCCCATCTAGAGTCCAGTCACTGGCCATTGAAGATATTTGCTACTAGCAGTGAGATTTGAGATGGGCTCCAATGCCATGTAGCCACATACCATCCCCTCCATAAATGTATCAAGCTCTGTATTGAAGCCAGTTATTTATTTATTTTTTGCCAACAGTGCTTCCCTTGCAAGGCCATTCCACAACTTCAGTCCTCTGGTTAGAAAACTTTATCTAATTTCATGCCTAAACTTGTTGATGGCTAGTTTATATCTTTGTCCTGGTGCACAGTTGAACCCTGAAGCTGACATTGCCATCTATTCTTAATTCCTTCTGTATTAATAATAAATTTGCTAATTTCACAAGATATAGATGGTGTCTGAGCCGGATGACTTTTCTCATGCATTTAGGTTTGAGGAAGCTAACTGTTACTTGCCTATGTGAAGCCATGTGATGCATTCCAGTGCAGGGCATGTGAGTGCGGAGAACACTGGCATTCTGAATGATTTCCAACTTTTGCAGGATGTTGCTACTTCAGTTTTACATAAAGAATATTTGCCACTGCTTTGTCAAAAAATGACAGCAAGAATCTCCTGACTTTGTTGCTGCAGCTGTGAGGCGAAGAAAATTAGCACAAATGTTTAGAACAATGAGGTGGTGATGGTGGTATTGCTGTGCACATGTGGTCACTTGAATGTCCTGCAGTGAAACTGGGTTAAAGAGGAGCTCCTTAAAAAGGAAGGGAGAATGAGCATGTGCAAAAAGCAGAAACAAAAACCTAGGCTGATGCATCATATTCCTGCAAGCGCATGTGGTTCTAGACGTACTCCCATGACATAAAAGGGCTGTTCAGATGAGGAGGCTGAGAGTGAGAAGCTGCGGAAGAGAAGCTTTTATATGCCGTTTCTGATTCTCTGTCAGCTTGCTGGGCCCTGGGTAGGTGCATGTTTGGGGGAGGGCTGGCTCTGGGCCTCAACAGGGTGGAGCCTCAAGAAGAAAAGGCAGGGCTGGAGGTTAGCATCCCCCTGCCCTCCAGCTGGGCTTTTTGCACTGCCCAGCCCACGCTGCCCAGGGCTTCAGTAGCAATTTAAAGGGTTGGGGGCTCTCGTCACTGCCACTCCTGCTGCAAGGGTGGCCAGGAACCCGGGCCCTTTTAAATGTCCCCCACTTCCAGTTGCCAGGAGCCAATGGAAAAAAGTTACAAGCAACAACCTGAAAGACAAAATAACTATCTGGCTTACAACTCACAAGCCAATTAAGCGTGAAACAATCCAGGTTTCTGCAGTTTTAAGCAGTTTTGACAACTCTTCCAACTTGTCATGGTCCATTTTCCACTGGTTGCCGTAAAATGAGGAGTTGGATGATGGGACTTGTAGCTTGTAAGCCACACCACTTAAAGATATAGGCAGCCGTGGAGAACAGTAGCTTCTGCTCTCCTCTTTCTCTCTCTCTCTCTCTCCAATGCTGCCTCTGATATAGAGGCAGTGGGTGGGGGGAGAGAAATGTGAGTAGTCGATTGTTTGACTACTTTTACTTACTTAGCCAAAATATGCTTCACTTTATGCCAAGTAGATAAATCCCTTCAGCTGCTGGAAAATTGCCAATGCAACCCTTGGAAGGGCAAAATCTGGTGGTGGTTTGGTTTTTGTGGGGGTGGTGAGGGGTGTTTGTGGTTTTTGTTTCTGCGGGTCTTTTTTGTTGGGTTTTTTTGTTGTTGTTTTTGTTTTTGTGGTGGAGACAAATCCTATGGAAAGCTATCTGATTCGGCATTATCTAGAGCATTTGTACCGTGATTTGAGTACTTTGTAAATCTAACAACCTGCAAATAAATTACAGCTTCTCACTTTAATTTGGAGAAACTTGAAGTTAAATTCTTGAATACCCAAGTATCTTAAGTTTAAAATAGTATAGTCGACTGCTCCTTTACAACCCTATTGAGATCCCCTCTGCCTTCCTCCATGGTTTCTCTAAGAAGAAAATGTAGAGGAGGAAAAGCATGGGATGGGACCACCAAGCAACACTAATAGGCTTGCCTGAGTAGGGATGTCATGGTCATGGATAACTTTGCATTGGTACAACCTTCTGCTTTCCTTACTATTTAAAGAAGTGAATACTGGAGGAATAAATAAAGTATATTTTTGTCTTTTGGCCAACACCCATTCTTGCATTTACCTTAGTATCTCTCTTGTTTTCCAGGCTGGACGCAAAGAAAGAAGTGATGCACTGAATTCTGCAATAGACAAAATGACTAAAAAGACCAGGGACCTGCGTAGACAGGTACAAAATGAGCTAAAATATTCATGTAGTAGCAATGCAATTCTGAATGTTCTCCATTGGACATAATTTTGTTTCTGACTACTTTATGTTCTGTAATGGCAGTAGTTTTGCTAATTTTTTCCCCCAGTTTGCTGAGAGCTAGAAGCATGAAGTGCTCAGTTTGGCTCATAATACTTGGGTTTGAATTAAGGATGTTAAAATGCGATTAATTGACTAGTCAGTGGAATTTCCATTGCCTAGTAGACTAGTCGGTAAGCACCTGCGCATTCCTCTTTTGAAATGTACACGAGTCCCCACTGGGGCTCTTGTACATTTCAAAGGAGGAATGTGGAACTCTCTGTACAGCCTGGGACCAGCGTAAAGTCTCGCTGATTCCGGGCTGCATGTGAGTTCTGCCTTTGAA